AGAGTAATAACCACTCAAAACTAATCAAAAGCATAAATATAAACATGGAAATAACATGAATGTCACAACAAATGCTCGATAACATGGCCATGCTCAACAACAACTACACCCAACTTCGGAATGAAGTTGGATTATATCGTACGGAGCACAGGCAGAGCTTTGAGAGGATGGAGGAGCAGCGCCAGGCAGACTGGCGTAGATATGAGGAAGACCGCCGGAGAGATGAGGAGGACCTACGGAGGACCTATGGTCCTATTTATTCCTATATGGCGCATCAGGGTGGATTTGCATCTATGACCACTCCCCCTCCCGCACCCTCTTGGTATGATCCCACTGCATGGGGTTATTTTGGAGGCTCGAGTTCCGGTGGTGGAGGCGATGATGGTGGTTATGGCGGTGATCACATGGATGAGGACAGACACCATGGTGGCGGTATGGGCGGGCACTAGGGATAGTGCAATGACTCAGCTGGGGGGAGACTATTCTGGTAAGCTTACATTCACACTCTTTATTTTCTTTTAAAAAAAAAAACAAAAAAAAAAAGAGCTTGTTAAGTTGAAAACCCACAAAGGGCAACTTAAGCAAAAATAAGCAAAATAAGAGTGAGTTTGTGAGGATTAAAACAGAAAAATGTGGGAAGCTGGGATGAAAACCCGAAAGGGCACCTAGGCAAAAATGAGAGAATGAGAGAAATTATTTCTTTTGACTTTGCAGGATCCTAAGGTTGATGATGAAAGGGAGTTCGTTGGTGAGAGAACCGATTTCGAAGACCTCTTGATGTTGGGGATATTTTTGTAATCATTCTGCTTCTAGATACACTTTATGGTGGTTGTTTTGATACTGTTGTTTTGAAGACTTCATGGACATGATTTATTTTACTCAAGACGAGTAAAAGTTCAAGTGTGGGGGTATTTGATATGCACTAGTTAGTAGTGCATAAATGTGTATTTTTATATCTTGTTTTGTGTGGATTGTTTACCATTTGTGTGTAGTTGTAAACAGTTGTTTACTTTTTATTTGTAAGTGCTTTTAGCTTTTATTTATGGGTTAGGAAGTTTTGGTAGAATTGTTGGCAAGGAAAAGGAAGAAAAACAAGGAGAATGCTGCCCAGAAGAATAAACCCGACCGGGTAGAAACCTTCACCCGGTCGGGTTTGAATTAACATTTGTAGTCTCCAGGAAATTGCTTGGCCCGGTCGGGCCCTATACCTCACCCGGTCGGGTGAGACTTGACCGAAGACAACCCGACGTGCTGAAGAACACTAGAACGTGGAAAATATTTGATTCGGACCGGTACCCGGTCGGGTAGATACTCTACCCGGTCGGGTACTCGACCAAAGGTGTTGAAAAACACCTATAAATAGCACACTTTTCCTTCACTAAAAATAATCCCTTCTTCCATACTCTTAAGCTCAGTTTAGAATAGTATTTCTTTTATATTTTTATAGCATGTTTAGTCTCCAAATGAGGAGCTAAACTCTTCCATCTTGGTTTTGCTACTTTGAAGCTTAATGAATTTGTAAGTTGTGAGTTATTCTCTTTAATCTTCTTCCTTGAATATTAATTCTTCCTTTAAATACTATTTCTATATCAATGTTGGGGAGTGTTACTAAGATGACAATTAGTTAACATCTTGACATTAATTATAGTAATAGCTATTTCTTCCTCTATGTTAATATTGGGGAGTGTTACTAAGATGACAATTAGTTAACATCTTGATATTAACTATAGTAGGATTCATCTTCTTTAATATTCTTCCTTGAATATTAATTAATTCCTATTCATATTTCATATTAATATTTTGAACATTACTTAAAGGATCAACTAGTTTTGTTTCATATATTAATTATTACTAGAATCAATCGGTTAATACGCTTGTTATTAATTCGGTTCTTTCAATAGTAGTAAACTTGGGTTGTTAATGCATGCTTCTCATGGTTAATAAACCAAGGGGAATTAATTATATTGATTAAACCAATAAACCGCTTGTGTTGAGGCTATCAATCTCAATCGTTTTCATCTTGATTTTATTGCTACTATCGAGTTAATATACGGCGCTTGTTCTATATTGACTCGGTAGTAAGTTTTATTAATGAACGCGTCTCGTTATTAATAACTACCCTCGATGAACTGGATATACTCCTCGATTGAGTATTCGAGAGGAAGATAGTTAAAGATATAACCGGGATCGACGAACATTTCATTAAGTGGATAAAAGCAAAGCCAAGTCTCCTTCTTATTAATTAAACCACATAACTCGTTCATCTTCGTGTTTAATTTATTAAACCAAATCAAACTAAAACCCCCCATTTTGTTACCAGTTCTATAAAAAGAAAAGTATTCCTTTCCCTGTGGATACGAACCTTACTTCGTTATACTACGTATAATTGTTGTATTGTATTATTATTTTGAGTGCACACCACGACAAAGTGCACGTCAGGTAGGTTCGTCTCGTTACGTCCCTCCAGAGATGAGTGCGTGGGGAGACCGTGCTGAAATGAGGTGGGACCAACAAATGGTATATGACGCATACGGTGTACCGATGTCTCAGTTCAACCCCCCACAACCACCTAACGACCCCCCTGAAACCTCAACCTCGTATCAACCAGATGCGGATGAAAATCCGACATTTTATCAACCTTATGTGGATGAAGGTTTGGCTGAGAGATTTCAGGATGTTCTAAAAGCTGCTGACCAACCTCTGTATGCTGATTGTGAGGGATACTCTCAGCTATCCGCCGTTACTGAATTCATGAACATAAAAGCCGAATACAGTCTCCCTGAAACTTGCATGAATAGAGTCTTGCAGTCAGTAGGAGGGATGCTACCGCGAGATCATACCCTTCCGGATTCATATTACCACATGAAGCAGTTAATGTCTAAGTTGGGGCTACCTTGTGTTGAAATTGATGCGTGCCCGGAAGGATGTATGTTGTTCTGGAAGGAGGATGAGGCACTTGAGATCTGCAAGTTCTGTGGTGGAGACAGATACAAACCTGTTCGTCAAGGTAAAAAGAAACCACGACATAGGTCTGCACTGTCTAAACTGTATTACCTCCCAATAGCTCCTCGACTGCAGAGGATGTACGCTTCGACTGCTACTGCGAAACACATGACATGGCATGTTGAGCACGAAACCAACGAGGGTATGATGGCTCACCCTTCGGACTGTGAAGCCTGGAGACACTTTGACCGCTGTCATCCTCAGTTTGCTATGGAGCCACGAAATGTGCGGCTGGGATTGTGCTCAGATGGATTTGCTCCTTTTGGCAGGTTTGGCAAGAACTATTCATGTTGGCCGGTCATGTTAACTTCTTACAATCTCCCTCCCGACATGTGCATGAAAAGTCATTTCATATTTTTGTCTTTAATTTGTCCGGGTTCCAAGGATCCTGGGCGAAAGATAGACATTTATCTCCAACCCCTTATCGAGGAGATGAAAGAACTGTGGGCCGTTGGGACACCAACTTATGATGTTTCATCAGATAAAATGTTTATCATGAAAGCTGCCATCATTTGGACCATTAGCGACTTCCCTGCCTATGGCATGCTTTCGGGATGGAGCACACACGGTTTGATGGGATGTCCGATATGTATGGAGAAATCAGGTGCCAACTGGCTCAGTTACAGCAAAAAAGGAAGTTACTTTGATTGTCACCGCAAGTTTCTCCCGGAAAGGCACCGATATCGAAAGGACAAGAAGTCTTTCATTAGAGGCAGAGCGGTACGAGAGAGCCCACCCCCGAGATTGACCGGTGAAGAAATTTATAACCGGGTTCGACGTTTTCCTACGGCTATGGAAGAGCCAAACCAAGAGCCATATGGGTATTGTGATACCCATAAGTGGACAAAGAGGAGCATATTCTGGGAGTTGCCTTATTGGAAAGACCTTCTCATCCGTCACAATTTAGATGTCATGCACACTGAGAAGAACGTCTTTGACAATATATTTAACACGGTGATGGATTTGAAAGGCAAAACTAAAGACGGTCTTGCAGCTAGGAAAGATATGAGTATTTGGTGTGATAGACCCGAACTTTCTGTTGATCTAGAATATCAGGGCAAGGAAGTTCCAAAAGCAGTCTACCAGGTCACAGAACCACAAAAGGCAGCAATATTACAATGGCTTGCGTCTCAGAAGTTTCCAGATGGCTACTGCTCCAACTTGTCTAGATGCGTAGACATGAACAAACTTACCACGACGACGAGCATGAAAACTCACGATGCTCATGTAATAATGCAAAGACTTCTACCAATTGCACTAAAAGAGATGCTTCCTGAACACGTATGGTCCTGCATTACTGAAATCAGTTTGTTGTTTCAATCGATATGTTCCAGCGTTTTGGATGCGACATCCCTCCGGAGACTACAAGATTCTGTTCCCATTCTGATGTGTAATCTAAAAAAAATAATGCCTCCATCGTTTTTCGATACAATGGAACATCTTATAATACATCTTCCGTATGAGGCTTTGACTGCTGGGCCCGTCTTCTATCGCTGGATGTACAGATTTGAAAGGTTAGTAACAATTTCATTTAAAAAAAGAATATTTATTTCACAATAACTGTTAACATGTGTACCGTTGTTATATTGCATTATTGCAGATTTCTAGGAGAGCTGAAAAAGAAAGTGACCAACAAGGCACACGTTGAGGCTTCAATTTGTCAAGCGTATCTTCAACAAGAAATCTCAACGTTCTCGTCTTTTTACTTCGAGCGTGACGTCATCACCAGAAGGAAGAGACCTGCCCGGAACGATGACATTGGCGAGGATTTATATGAAAATGTAGTTTCCATCTTCAATTACCCAGGCAGAGGTAAAGGTGCTGCGACACAACGATACATCGTGGGTGGGGAATTGCAAATTGCACATACTTATATCCTCATGAATTGTCCAGAAATCTCACCGTTTTATCAGTAAGTTAAATTTGTAGTTATAATTGTAATACTTATCAATTAAATTTGTAGTTAATTTATAATTTTTTTATTTTTGAATTCACAGTGAATTCAGAGCTTCTTTATCAGCCTTTCCTGAGAATCAAATTGATGCATTGGTAGACTCTGATTTTGTAAATTGGTACAAGTATCAGGTATATATATACACACACATTAATTATATATATATATATTATTAAGTAAGATTTTTCAATATTTACCTAATGTTATTATCATGTTTATATTTACAGATCAATAGTCGTGGGATTGTCGACCCTTTGTTAGTATCATTAGCGTGGGGCCCTAGTGCCAGTGCCAAAGTGTGGCGGCAATATGTGATAAACGATTACACATATCACACAGCCGATTACGGAGAGGGCCGACCAACAACGAACAGCGGGTTATGTGTCCCGACCATCGGTTATGATAAATCCGAAACCAATTTTTTTGGTGTCCTGCAGGAGATTCTGGAACTTGAGATGCCTTCTGGTGCGAAAAAATTGACATGCGTTCTGTTCCGTTGCACATGGGTCGACCCCACACGTGGCGTGCGCAAAAATCCGAAGTATAATATGATTGACGTCAACCAGTCTCGTGTGTACCCGAAAAATGAGCCTTTCATACTCGCCCAACAAGCAGCGCAGATTTATTATGCAGAATATCCTTCAACAAGGCGGACACAGAATCCTTGGGTGTGTGCATGTCCTGTCCGTCCGAACAAAATTAAATCACAAACTCAACACAAGGACGTTGATCTAGATGCTTTTCAGCAACAATTTTTCCAACCTCCGCCTATTGTTGAGACGGTCAACTATGACATCCAATTAAGTGATCCAAATGGCGGACGTGTTGAAGTCATGCCAGAAACGCACCTTCCGGACCCAACCATTCCATCTGAGCGCGAAATTGAGGAAATGTATGTAGCACAACAAAACGCTCAATATCAGGAAGAAGGTGAATGGATAGACGGTTCAGATACAGAAGAAGATACTGTATATGTAGAAAATGACGATTCTGATAGCGAATAATTGTGCTGTTGTAATTTCAATTTTATTGACTTCTAATATTTGTGCAGATTTCTTCATCATTATATTACTCCAACAATATTTGAATTTTTTTCTATCTTTATCATTACTAGTAAACTCACCCGTGCGATGCACGGTTTGAGAATTTTTCTTTCAAATTTTTGTGTGCTTAGTAATTCAAATTACGTTATCAATTGATGACAGTATCTATCTTCATGTAATACAGATATACATCAAAGCATTAAACGAAAAACACTTATAATATTATGGTCAAAATGAGATTACTAAGCATTACTTAAAAGATAAAAAACATCCAATAAATACGTTGAAACTATAACATTGTAAATATGCATTGAGATCGATGTGCTCACAACACTAAATCATTACTTCCGGGTACTTCTTATTGGCCTCCATCCATGTTGTGAACATATTGTCCTTAATTGAACATGCCCGAACCACTGAATCCAGAGGCTGATCATCGCGAAAGACAACATTTTGTTCTTTCGGCAAATGGAATCTCAAAGGTTCAACTGCATGGTAACAATGCATTTATACGAATTGCCCAAGTTAATTGGCAAATCAGGGGGTGTGCAAATATGTGAAAGTGTGTTATGGCATTATTAAACAATACTCAAATATGAATTTGTGAGAAAATGTTAGTTGAGTCCGTATATGAAAAGTAATACTCAATATATATTAATTGAAGGTAAAGTATTGATAATGATTGAGTAATAGGACGACTTTACAATTATACGAATTGCGTGGTTAAACGAATTGCCTTTGTAAACAGGCAAATCAGGGGGTGCAAGTATGTGAAAGTGTGTGATGTCACTCTTAAATTATACTCCCTCCGTCCCGCTATGATTGTCCCATTTTACCATTTCGGTCCGTCCCACCAAGATTGTCTCATACCTTATTTGGTAAACTTTGTGTGGTTCTAAATCATTCCTACTTTATTCTTACTTTATCAATTCAATATAAATCACATAAACTCACTTTTATTGATAACCGTGACACCTTCTCTTGTCCCAAACTTAGGGGGACAGAGGTAGTACTTAAATATATTTTTTAGTGAAGATGTCCAAATAGGTCTTTCTACTATTGTAGAGGACAAACTTAGGTATTTTTGCATACTTTTTTTTATGTGAAATGTGAAATGTTAAATATAGTTACTATGGTCAAAATACTTTTTTACATCTTTCAATTATTACATACTCAATGTAAAATGATAAGTGTATTCCTAAAAGAAACCTAGTAATTTTTTAAACACTGGAATCACTTCTTCTCTTCTACCAAAACACTCCAATTTCTTCTTCCGCTTCCTAAAGGAGCAGAAACAATTTTAAGAATCAGATCCAAACTCCCCCTAAATGTCACATATAATTCACTATTTAATGCAATATTAGTTACTTTTTCTCCTACTATAAAATTTTCACATAAATATAAATATAATAAATATAAATATAAATATAAATGTATTTAATAATATATTTGTAAAACCATAAAAATAACGATGTAAGAAATTAATCCTAAATAATTACTCTATGAAATACCCTTTACTTGTCACAAAGGTACGTAGTATATTTAATCAAATTATTTACGCAGTACTCCCTAGTATTTCAGGCCTGATTTTTCTCTTCACACAATTAATGTTATCTGGAAAGTTCAATAGGAATTATAGCGTTGTCTATCCGATAGATGCAGGTGATGCCTCGAGCCCAGTAAATACTTGCTCTGTATTTCGCTGCACCCTCTCAACCTATATCCCATATCTTCACCTCACCCTATTCCTCCTCCCTCTCACTCTAAAATCAATAAATCGATGGTGTCTTTCCTAGGGCTGCCGCCGGCCACAGTCAACGGAAAACCTTCATCGGCCGATTGTATTGAAGTCTTCTGCCAGACAAAGTAAAACTCACATGCTTAGTGCTTCTATGGTTGTACAGCAACTCAAACAACAAAGTACAATGGATTAAGGTCATGAGTGCCCCCTTGACTTTGAATATAATAATCCATGTAATTCGGCAATCGGTGGATTGTTAAATTAGTGTATTGTTGTCTCAGAAAGGTAAACATCTAACTCCTGTTGCTTTTGATTTTTTTATTCACATACAAACATATATATATACATATAATACGTAGTATTAACTAATTTGCAGCTGAATTTCTGGTTCTAATTTCAAAGTCGCAGAAGCGAAAATTGATAACCTAATTCGGTTCATCCAGATCCGAAATGAGGTATGTTACGATCTTTTAAGCACTTTAACATTTTAGTCTGACAAACTCTGTTGTTTGATTTCTAATTGCATGGAACACTGACCTGAATAATATATGTACTTTGTCTAACCTTGTCGTATTATCAAAACAGTGCCATGGTTTTACTAATTGCATTGTGTTATTGAAAACTATTTGTTATTAGAGTTGCCTAGTAGAACGATCTGCCCTTGACATGGCAGCAATTCAGGGGGGGTGTGTTGGTAGAGAATTAGATACATAATCTGTTAACAGAATTGCCCATGGATGTTTCATTTAACAATTCTTAATTAAACCCATAATTGGAGTGTACTGCGATTTCAACACTTGATGATACCTATTACATCAAAACTTATAGTAAATAGAAAAATTTAGCATTCTCAACCTCAAATCTACACAGCCATATCACAGCACTTTGAACATACATTTCATAACATCCTAACGTTGTTCCACATGTTGCGAATTGCAGGTTGACCGTTGGCGATTACACGAAATGTCGTCCTCAAAACTGTCTCCCCCCCCTTTTTGTGTTATTAATTTCATGAAATATGCTGTGATAATTAGACTTAGGCTAGACTTAGGATGTCCTTGCTCAAGCCCGACCCCAGGTATGTTCATCCACGCACCGCTCAACTTTTAATTTATCCCCCGCTGTTGTTTCGTTATACATATTTTTACGACAAATGTCTTCTATTGGGTTCCAACCAATAATTTTTAACTGAAACCGGGTTAGTGGCTTTAGATTCCTGCACATACTATTATATACCCCAGGTATTTTTTTGATTCCCTTGAAATTCTCAAACAGTTTACTCTTTATAGAGTCCTCAGGCCACACTTACAAAAAAAACTCCCTATGCTAATTTGGTTCCTCCTGTAGAAATCATTCCTGCGTTTCCCCAATCAAATTTTTGAAAATTGTTACCTATCTTTAAATAGATACACAAAAATTACCTTTTTTTACATAGATAACAATCAGTTTTATATAGGAACATATTTTGACTAAGCCAAAGCACTGATGATCTGCACATGGCCCTTACATGAGTTAGATAACCTTTGACCTGTTAACGATTATTTCATTAGCATCCCAGATGATTTAGTTGTCATTGGGAAGAAAAAAATCAAGATTAATAAAAACTAGGGCTGGGATTTTGGAACCGGGAACCGAAAAAATGACCGAAACCGAACCGATATAGTACAGTTCGGTTCGGTTCCTATTTCTAGTGTTATAAAAATTATCGGTTCGGTTCCTATTAGTTAATACCGGTTCGGTTCCCGGTTTGTTATAAAAAAAAATGCTTAGAACCGACATGGAACCGGTAACTCACAATTCATTCTCAAGTTTTAAAAGTTAGACAACTAGTGGGTTATTCCACTTATTCTTATTCCGTCAACCCATTAGCCCACTAGTCAAAGTTCTCCACTCTTCAACCATTAGCCCACTCACTATCCGTAGCATTAAGAGGAGAACCCTAGCATCTCAGCTATTTTGCTCATATCCCCTCATCTTTCAATGGTTTCCATGGCTTCCTCACAGGAGATATTATAGATAGGTAAGCATCTCTATCTGTATTTTTTAGTTCAAACTTTTGTAGCTCACGGAAAAACCACAAAGTCTTGCCTTCTTCTTCAGGTCAGCGACATTTCTTCTGATGTGAAGCTCCTGCTTGTTTTGGGGTTTTTCTCCGGTGCTACACTGCAACCTCGTGTCAAGTTGGAAGAGAAGGTAAAGGCAACATATATGAATTACAAGCTATCTAATTTCTTAATTTTTCTTTTAAATCAGCAAGCAGATCCGACTCACCCATAGTGATTGAGATTTAAAAAATAAAAACGCAAAAACTAGTACAATACGATTGTAAACAACATACGACTCTCTCATATCAAAATCTTCCCACAGATTCATTCTAATTCAAATGACTTTAAAAATACTTTATATACCAGACCTTTATAATTTTTGTTTTCCCATATGTAAATTATCTACAGTATTTTATATTGCTTTCTTTTTTACTTTCGTTGATTCAGATTGTTAAGTTTTGGCTTATGAATAGGTATTTTTGGATTAAGCTTTAATGTTATGATGTATATGTCTGGTCGCTCGATTTTGGGATTTTTCAGATTTTGATTTTGTTGCAGATAGAATATTTATGAGCTGATTTTATTTTTTTCATGGGGTGTGAAGTATGGGATGATTGATTCCATTTCAGTAAAATGAAAAACAATCAGTTGTATATTTGTTTGTTAGTG